TCTACATATTTCATTGAGATGCCATCTTTTGCTGGTGGGGGACTACAAATTGAGACCTTGACTCAACACTTGGGGCCTTTGAGCATTGAGGGTCTTTTATTTGTGCCAGCATCAACTGCAACACAGGATCTTGGTCTCATCTGAAGGGCCGGTCTCCATGTCCTGCAGTTAGATTCAAACTGCCACGTACATGTAAGAATCAACTTCTCTCCGTGATGGAGAGCAAATGCTATAAACATTGTGCAAATTGCTGGTGACACAATTGAAATAAGGAGAGAAAAATGAAATGCTTCAAAATCAACCAGAAGTTACATTTTAAACACAGATGGTGTGCATATTATTTTTGAGTGCTTGATTGCATGAAAAGTGAAAAAGAAAACAAATGGTAGCAGAGGAAAAACATGGACCTCTTAAAACATCAAAGGTGGGATTAGGTGCCATGGAGGAGTAAGCATTCTTTGCGCTATATTGGGTTCTAGTGTTCTTTGTGAGGGGATGTTCTACCTTGTTGTGTCCTTTTATATTTGACATTTAACAGTTTAAGGTTTCTTTCCTGGCTGCATGCCTGGGCTGAAAGTGAAATCTATGGCTTTTGACACTAGTTAGAGACCTATAAGGTTTGTAAGACAGAACCTCTTTCTGCAATGTGCTATGAATATATACTGATGAGAATATCCTCTTAGTAAACATTACGTATTGTCTTGATCTTTTGAAAAGATTTAATATCCAAGCTCGCAGGAAATTCTGGCTTAGAAACCTTCTGATTTCTTATTTTATATCATCCATACTGAAAAGAAAAAATGCCCCCTGTATTTAAGTAAAATGTAAGCATTTGCATGCCTCTGCTATTATGATATGTCTATTAAATGTCAGAAGTATTTAGGCTTAACATTCATGTAGGGTGGGATTACTGCCAAAAACTGACAGAGTGAACCAAAGCACTGATTACCTGTATATTACATGTATTTAATATTACCTGTCAACTTCTCTTACAGGCGAATGCACAACAGTACTTTAAATAGCACAAGTCTGATATTGAGGGGTTAATTGTTCTAGTTCTTTATTTTGGAATGGTACAAATTACCGTTGTTTGTGAAATTAAGTGGAAAAAACTTGGCTGATTAGCCTCATTTATCATAAACCCGTGGTAAACAACAATCTTGCGTTCAAATTTCAGAATGACCTGATTATTCTAGCAATGAATATATGTCCCTTTTAGTTTGGTATTCTTGCATTTTCTTAAAGCTTTCATTGTTTATGCAGTATTTTGCAAGAATTATCTTATTTATCTTTGCCCACGGTAAGATGACCAGTCAAATTAATACATGTATTGACACTAATATGTAAGAATCTTTTCAAAGTATGAGAGAGGGTTATGGTTTTTTTTTATCTTTATAGTGCTGAAACTTTTCTTGGTGGATCTTTAGAAAAATCTAAGCAGTGGGCAAGACTTCTTTGATTGGAAGGAATATCAAAAAGTATATAATCGACATCTCCAATCTATTGATCAATATGAAGAAAAATCTCTGTTGCTGAGACATATTTTTGTCCGGTGATTTCTTGTAAATCCATTGAGCTCCCAATGATTGATCCTACGATCCTGCTCACGATTGATTCGTCATGGCCTGATTAGGTTTTATTGGGTTCTCAACAATCTCGTTCTCTGGTTGCTAAGCAAAACATCCTGTTTTTTTAAATAATTCCTAAAAAAAAGAGTTACTTTGTGAAAACCTTTTATGGCCATTAGCTGCATTCAATTATTCTGAGGTTATTTTAATGCTCTTCAGTAGAACAGTACAAATGTACTGGGAGGGAGGAATTATGAAGAAAAGATTGAACTATTTTTTTGAGTTTGTAGAGTAAAATTGTTCCATTGAATAAAAATTACATTTAAATTAAACTTAATGCTAAGAAGGTTTGATTTCTTTGAATCATTACAGTTAACCTGTTGATGGGGCAGTGCTTTCGTCCTTACAACTCACAGATACAGTATAACAAGTTTCTGTACGGTACAGTCAATGGAATGAACATTGAATTTAAAGACTGAGATTAAATATATATGTCTTTTTCAATGTTCAATGTTCAATCCATTGACTTATTTAAAAAGTTGATTCAGAAAATGTTTTTTTCCAGGTGAGCTATTGTGCCCGTAGGCCTGTAGTTATAGTTGTCTCAAAGACTATTTTATAGATGGAGGAAAGATAAGTGAGCTATTGTGCCCGTAGGCCTGTAGTTATAGTTGTCTCAAAGACTATTTTATAGATGGAGGAAAGATAATATTTTGCAAAAACAATTAACACCTCCCCCCCTTCTTGCTACATGTACAGACACACAAAGAAACACACTAAAACATTAATAAGGTTGCCTGCATGGCATTAGTTGTTGGAGTTTTTGCTTCAGAGCTGACTGATTAATTAAAGGAGTAAAGAGTTAATCCTTATGTTGAGGGTTCAAATCCAACTGCAGGACTAGGAGACTAGTCCTTCTGATGAGATGGTATAAACCTATGTCCTGTGTCACAGCTGACATGACTAATATCCCTCACTGCTCAATTATGGCCCTAAAATTTGCAGCCCTCCACTGGCAAAAGGTGGTGTCTCCATAACGCAAGTGAGTTAAGGCTACGTAAAGAGTTTCAATGTAAAAAATCTAATTAAAACTCATAATTGCTCTACCTGCTACACGGAAAATGTTAAGACTTGTTTTCTAATATGTTCTTGGTACCAACGATATGTGATAGCCAGTGCACATTATGACGTCATAGATCTCTACTACACAAGTTTATAAGAAACATCAACAAAATCGCTTCGGCGCAAGGGCATACTTTACTTTGTTTTACAGAAACAAGGTATAAAAAGACGAAGGATATTCAAAGGATTTAAGATAGTGCTGCACAAATGTCGACAGTGCAATTGTTTAGTTATTATTTGTACAGTTTTAAGTTTAAATAGGGAAAAAATTCAGTCTAGTGTAAGTTTCATAAAATTTTTATCGATAAAGAAAATGCATAGGATTTGTGCAGCAATTTTTTTAATTTTAAGAATGTTCTCTTTAATATTTTACAATATTTACTTTAAATTAAATAGGACATGCCCTTGTGCCGACGTTGTTTTGTTGATGTGTTTTCTTACCTTGAATGGGAAAGAACAATGACGTCATAATGTGCAGTTGTATTACTATACTGTGGGTACTAAGTATGCATAAGAAAATCAATTGACACTTTTTCTGTACATCAAATATACAATTTATGCATTTTTATTAGCTAATTTGCATAGAAACACCATTGTTCAGCCTTAATTCACTTGCGAATGATATGAGTGAAAAAATCTTGGGACTGGGACATTAAACAAACAATAAAACATTACTCAAGCCTATATTTATCAATCAACAGATAGGGAGCATTTTTGTGTGTATTGAATGAAATGTATTGATTAAATTAGCATAACTGGAAGACTGTAATATCCAAGTGAAATTAAAACATTCTTTTAAACATTCCTGCACAGTTTATTGCTGGGACACAATATTTTATTGATATTTTAAAATGTATACTCAAATAAATCTAAATGTTTCATTATGAGAAGGGGATTCAAGATGTTCTAGGCATTTGAAAACTTTTCTGATTTAATTTTGATTATTGATTAGATCACAAGTTTGACTGTGAATGTAAAATTATTAAATTGAATTAATGTTTAGGGTTGTTAATGCTATCCTTTGTGTACCAATTCTTGAAAACTGACAAAGTTTGATTTATGTCACCATTATAAATGAGTACAAAGAATATGTGATAATGCTGAATTTGTGCTATTACTTCAATGCATTGAATTTTAAATATATGCTATAAAATTTAGTATATTTAATATATAACAAAAACTTTTTTCAGTGAAAAGCTTATCAGTTTTATTCCAAACCTCTGAGCAATCATAATTTCAAGATATGGACAGATATTTGAAAAAAGTAATCTATAGGAATCTGGGGGAATCAAAGATTAACATCAATAATTCAAATTTGAAGAAGTCCTTTTCCCTTTTTAGGCTGTCTAAACTTAATTCTACATTTAACACTTCATCTAAAAGTTCAAAATCATACTAGCAAAATATGTGCTATGACATTGTTAGCATTTTGGTAAACTCCAGCAATATGATTTGTATTTGTATTTCATAAACATTATATACATGTAATGTTTGAAAAAAAAATAATTTGCTTGATCCCATTTTTTTCTATGAAAGATGATTGGCAAACATTTAAATTGGTGTGGCCTGTATTACACCAGGTTCTATATTATCCTTTCATGAATAAAAATAGCAACTGAAGAAAATTAGTTTAATTGCGTTAAATTGAAAATCATATTTTTGAAGGATTTACTGAAGGGTTATACTTAAGATGGTTTAAATGATAAGATTCATGGTAAAATTGCATTGAAATTACAGGAATCGTATAGAAAACATTTTTAAATGCTGATCAATACGAGATCAATGCGTCATAATTAAAAGTTATGTCTGCAGTGAATAGAAATAAATCTGCTGGATCCATATATTTGCTCAAGAAGTAATATTGGACGTAATTCAATACACAAAATGCCTCTTCTTTTTTTATGCTCTCTCTCTCCTTGGGGATATATCTTTGGTTTGAGTAAATCTACAAGAAACCCTCCCTTTGTAAACTTCTGGTCTATACATGCACACAAGCTTAAGTTCCTCAGTGCTGCAAAATAAACTACTGCAAAATTACCGGTCGATGCCCACTGAACTGCAACGCAATTCAGTGTTTGAAAAAAAAAACCTATACTGTGTATTGACAAGCGTTAATTCAGATCTAACTCTTCAGAGACAGGCGTGAACATTTACCAGAACTTACACTAGTTGCGGAATACTAGGGCAGATGAAGATTCAACTGCTAAATGTGAAACTGCAAGAAAGAATAAGCATTTCAAAAAAATTTAATATTCTGGACAAATCATTATGTGCACGCAGCTGTATATACATTAAGGTGTTCGGAGGAACCTTTTGCTGGGCTTTTAATTTGTTAAATGAGTAGTCAATAAGCAGCATTAAGTAGGGCTGCGGAGAAGCTGGGATATTAATTATTGGAAGGCGATTGGTGATTTCTGCCCTCTAGCTCAGCTGATCAAAGACTTAAAGAGCTCGAAAACCGTGATGATGTGGTAACAGAAATCTACAGAGTCAATATCAGAACTTAATTCTATACATTGAGTGTGGAGGAACTATGAGTTTTTTTGTGGTTTAAGTAATTGGAAGTTAATGACAACCTGTCTATAAAGGAATTAGGAATTGCACAACTGCACAGTGCCCTACAAGTATACATATTGTTCATTATTGAATGAAAGGCATGCACACAGTTGCATGCTTATATTGTAACACATGTGAAGTGAAGTATTTAACATTGTTTTAAATAGTTTCTGTTGATACAAGTGGATGAATGCATTTAACATTAATTGTGTACAATTTTAAGTGCAGCGTAACGGAAAAGGTACGTAACTTCTGATAGGAGGATCGAGAAGGAAAATTGTGCCGAACGGAAGTTAGTACTTAGAGTACTTCATCTTGGAAATACTCCATACAGTATAAGGAGCCCTCTGACAAAGACTTTGTAAACAAACTATGTTATGTAATGCTCCTGTCATTTAATTGGAGAAATTAATTATAGCTGTAATTGATTCAGGCTGTGTGGATTTACCAGAATCTCTATTTGGAATTTGCTTTAAGGATGGATGGTGTATTTTGCATTGGAGCTAATGAATCGCTAGTTATTTCATTTTTCTAATGGACTAGTCTCCTATTGTTGTCATTGATTGGTGGCGGTTTCTATCTGACATTGTGTGACTACTGGGGACAGGGTATATATATATATTTGATTACATGTGTATACTTCAAGGTGTAAAGGATCCACAGATAAAACCCTGCATCAAGTGGAAGATACTTAGATAGCAGTTTAGTGGTCAAATAAGATCTAACTTGTACACTGTACAAATTTGATAATACCAGATCAGATAATCCCATCCTATTTGCTGAATCGACACACTGTTTAAGACCTGTCCGGTTTGATCCTGCCTGTAAACTTAAAACCCACTGTTTACGGAGCATTTAATTAGTTGGGCATTAAAGTATTAACTTGTCCTTCGAAATAAATTAATAATAGATTTGTGTGTTGGAATATTACAGTCTTTTATTTATCCGGCCATTCAGACCCTAGACGAGAACTGAAAACAAACTGAGAGGTGATTTAAAACTGTGCGCGTTTGACATTTTGTGTTGTAAATATGAAACCTGAATGCATCTTCAAAGAAAATTTGATTTGAAATCTAGGTCAAGAAAGCCCTTTATTTGAGTGCAGTAAAATTTACTTGTATAGATCTCCGAGATATTCCGAGATATTCCGGGCCAAGAAGAGAGCAACAGGTTAGTGGATTGACGCAATATTCTTTGACGATTGTGTGTATACTGGGGGATATTCCCCGATCCTCTATACATCTGGAGTATACACTGCAATCTTATATTTAAAAGAGAAGATAATTTTCGTTCAGAGGAAAGGAAAGTTTGTTTGGAGCAGCAAATACCCCTATACAGGATGTATATCGCATATGTGTGATAATAATTGGGGGAAGCAGATATTTTTATCTTCCACGTGTGGATTATATAAGATCTTTGCACACAATGAAGAAGTTTTTTGGAAAAGACAACAAAACCCGTCCCGGGGGACGTCGGATGTCGCTGCAGGTGATCCCGGATAACCACGAGGTCATCAGCTTTAAGGATGATGACATGGATGAGACCGCAGTGATCAAGATGATCAACAAACAGAGGAAGCGGAGGGGCTCCCTCCCGGGCCCCCCTTCTCATGCCGCTAAGGTAGGTCTTTCAGTGTCATCTGTCAGTCTACTAGTCTCTTGTTCTCCTGACCATCAGCACTAAGGCATGTACTCTTTACAATGTCATCAGAGGTCAGTCTCTCTTATAATCTCCCGGCCATTGGCATTATAAGGGAAGTGTGTTCCCTGGTCCCCCTTCTTAAATATGGTTGAGGAAGGCAGGTCAACCTTGTCTTCAGTACAGTGGTCACTGTTCAGTCTTGTTCCCCTGACCATTGGCACTAAGGGACATGATTGTGCTCCCCACCTCCCTTATAATAAATTAAGGTAGGTCTTACAGAGTCATAAGTACACTGGTCAGTCTCCCTTGCCACCTGACCATTGACCTTAAGGGACATGATTGTGTTGTCAGGTCCCCCATACAGACTGTCACTATAAGTGCAGTGGTCAGATTCTCTGGCTGACCTCTGAACCATTAAAGGGCATTTTTCTGCCTCCTGTATAATTGTCCCTATCTTGGCATTGACCCATCTTGCTTGTTTTCAGTCTCAGAAAGTGTGACCACAGGAAGCATTTTTATACCCCCCACTTGAAAAGTGGGAGGGTATATAGTAATTGGTATGTCTGTCCACCCATCTGTTACGCTTTGGGGTACCCATCTCTTATCCACAACTCCTCTCATACCACTGAATGAAATTTGATGAGACTTTCACAGAATCTTTATTACATGTTGCCATTGTGCACCCCCTATTTTACTTTTTGATCCAACACATATTTTGGGTTTCCCATAGCAAAACATGGACACTGCCATAATATTCATATGGGAGACGGGGGTATCATTTAGTGAGCTCATTGCTCACAGTACCTCTAGTTTCCCTAACATTCTAAATTTCCTTTATATCAAGTATGTAAATGAAGGTACTGGTATATGAAGTGTAAGAATTTTACATCAGTGAATCCCATTCCTTTCTCCTCCTTCATTTGTATTGCAATTGACCTTGAAGTGAAGATGAAGAGAAAGAAGCCACTCAGTCTCTCTCTTTAGTTCAGATGTAGGCTTAAGTAGATACCAACAGAATGCAAGTTTTTAAAAAGTGTGTTCTTCATAAAGAAATTGGCACTACAATTGTACAATGTATCTCCTGATCATGCTGATAGTTAAGTTTCTCTGGGGAGGTCCAGGATTTTATTGGAAGCAGCACACATGTAGAGATCTAAAATTGATATTAAACAGTCAATCAAATCACTAGTGGTAGAAGGGAAATGAAAATTTTGTGTTTGAAATTCCTGGAGCCCTTTCTACAGCTCATTTGGAGATGGAAGTTTACCAGGGTACAGATTTTGTGAACTTCAATATGAGCCCTGGATTGTGGGCCTGCTTGGCTCAGTGCATGGTTAGAGTACCCTGACCTGGGTCCTGAGTTCAATTCCCAGACCAACCATGCATTTTCCCCTTTCCAATTACGTTGTGAACAAGTATATTGTTTCAGAAACTTATTAAAGCTTAATTATGTGATGGAGATATGGTAGAAGAAAGTAATAAACACATAGCAGAGTGCTGATTGACAGTAATGGAGCCGTGAGATACCCATAAACCAAACTGAAAACAAGTGACTATACACGAAGAAGGTCTCTATAATTGGGTTTTATTATCTCAGTGTTGTACAGAGTTTTTAGTGATTATCTGTTTCTTCAGATGAACAATTAAGAATGGACAGTGTTAACTTGACATATTTTCCAGGACAGACATAGTGTATTCAGAATAAAACCTTGACCAAAGTTTGGTGTTCAACTAAAAAAAGTCAAGATCATGTTAGATTTTGCTACTGAATCCTTATTTTCTTATATGGTCATTTATAATGTCCTGTTGATAAAAGGATAGGAATATTCTGGTAACTTGACCATTTAAAATGACCAAATTGAGTGTCCTCATTGATGATTGTATCTCAATTAAGATAACATTATAAGATAACATTTTAAATGTTCATTAGTTTTAAGAGATTTTTCTTATTTCTCTATAGAATAACTTCTCATTTTTTGGGCTCATTTTTTTTCAAGTAGGTATTGCAACTTTCTAGATTATTATACAGAACCTAAAATCCATCTTGGTCAAAGAAAGATGTCATTAATCCTTGTAACCTGGACTTCAGACCTTGCAAATAACTATCCATATACACCATGTAAATCCAAAAGGTTCTGGGCCATGTAGGATCTAGTATAGATTTTTTACTGAGTACAATAAGGCTTGATATATAAAGCAACATGAGTATAGAATTCAAAGAGGGTATTCTAAGAAGAAATCAGGGCAATTCAGCTTTCCCTGATTTAATTAACTGGCTGGCAGGATCCTTGTATGGGTCAAAGCCCTCATTAATTCAATCATGTCATTTATAGGAGAACTGGACCTAACTCGTAAGGAAGTTGGATGAGATAACAAAGTTAATTTGTCACTCAGGGATAACAAAACATCATGTCCACCTTATATTGATAAAGTCCTTTTTTGTGTGTCCATTGCATTTAAATTTTGTGGAGTACCTTTGTATTGTCCCTGACATTAAATTACTATATCATAATTTGGCATATTCAAAATTTAGCACAATCGGTGGATATGGGGTTGTTGTGGTAAACCTGAATATGCTACACATGTATCTACTGTGTATCGTATATTATAAATGATTTTTTACATGAATTAGCGCATCATTGTCTGTGCCATTAAGCCGCTAAAATATGAAGCCTGCTTTTATAAGTGAACATACAGTATAAACTGAACTGTACAGATCAGTAGGATGTTGGATTTTGGAAATTTAAAAAACATTATACTGTTGCTAATAGATATTTATAGCATTATTTTTTGGATATCAGAATTGTAACAGGCTGAAAGATTAATTTGATCATTACATTTTAAGCAGACAACATGTTTTATTGATTTTCAACAAGATTATGGGAGGTCAACATTACCGCTACATTACCAAAAATTTCAACTCATTACCGCTACATTTTTTCAGATTCTCGACCGATCATTACCGCTACATTTTTCCGGCCAAAAACAACTCATTACCGCTACATGTTGAATCAGCCCAAAACAACTCATTACCGCTACATATCGACTTAGCCAGGTATGGTTCGGTATATGAGTTCTAATCAAAAGAGTTCACTCACAATCTTATCAGAATGAGTATATTTATATAAATAACTCTGCAGTCGAAATTTGATTATTAACATTATGACCACAACTGAGAAGTTTGTTACAAATCTAGGGAATGCCGGCTTATATCGATGGTTATAAATTTAGAAAACAACAAATGTCAAGCAAATGGCTTTCAAGGTTTAGCAATAGAGTAAAAACATTTGACAAAACTTAGAATTTTATCGATGAACAGTGCTTGATTGAGTGTTTTATGAAATAAAAATGATTTTAATAAAAAAAAAAACATCTGCTCAAAGTCCTACTTTCACCTCCCCGTGGTGAGCAGGGAGAATGGGTCTTATGCATTTATAGGTTGTACTGTACAAGCATATGTGGCTGGCTAACGAAAGAGGCAATGTAGCGGTAATGTATACTTTTTTATGTAGCGGTAATGTAAGGTTTTTTGGAGCGGTAATGACTATGTGGCGGTAATGAAAATTTCAAAAATGTAGCGGTAATGATACGCACCCAAGATTATATTTAAAGCATATCTTTTAAAGTTAGGAAAATTGCTGCTGCATTCAAGAATAAAGCTCAGAAAATGTGACATTTAAAATAAGTGTCTTGACAGTGCATGACCATAATTAATATAAGGAAAAACTTTTCTACATTACCATAGCAGGTTCATTCATATATATTCTTTAACCTTAGTTTTCAATTGAATAGACTATGGCAAATTCATTGAGCATTTTATTGTATGGGTGTGTGCACAAAGTCAGTCCAAAACCAGAAAAAAGGTCATGGTACATTTATAAAAGGGGAAAAACAGTACAAAAACTCAACAAAAATTTGCACTATGATTGTTTGGATATTTATTTGAGCATATATTCAAATGTGCAAATGTAAACTTTTTGGTGGTTGGTTCTTATTGAAAATTTCAACAGATCAGAGTTTATACAATGTACAAGTACCTACATCTTTCTTTGAAATTTCTCAGTACTGTACCAAAATGGAATACTTTAAAAAATTGTTTTGATTTGATATTTTTCTGTTATATAAGATGAAAAGATAGCATCAAAACAGAGCCTGATGTGCTTGTTATGTAATATTATCATATTTAACGAATGAATTGAATGATTAGCATTCAATGCTTATCAAATTAAGGATGTTGATAATTATTTCAAAAAAATCAAAGGAATGTTGGGTACTTCAGGATTGATATGAAATTAATGAATTCTTTGTGTTGGGTAAGCCTTCTATGAATTTATTGTCGGCAGATTGAATCCCTGTAATTATGTTTTCTGTACCAATGACTCCATTCTAACTGGAATTATATGTAAATTGAACTGTTGGATGACACACCTGGGCAGATTTCTGTATGTTTAATGTGTCAGTATTGATAATATACATGCTTATTTAAGGAAGACAAAATCATCTGTTTACTGGTTGCTACATGTTTTTTGCGACTTGACGGGGAATCCATTGTTTTGGAGCCGAACCAATCTAGGAGTGTGTTTACTCTGAGATTTGACAAGATCACAGATATTGACTGATATTCATAGCCGCTTCATTGTGTTATTGCTAAAAATATGATTTAATGTGGACTGGAAATTCTTTGAAATTGGATGTTCATTCAAAGGATCACCTACATTACCATTGGGATGTACAATAATATTGTATTGACAAGTTCTTCCTGGACTAGTGTTATTGTTTATGTCTGAGTATGTATGTTTGTCTGTGAAGGATTGTGTTTATTATTCAGGTTATCTGATTCTGTGCTGATTCTATGGATAATTAAGTGAAGGTTCCATTCTTGGAACATTGTTTACATTTGGAGCTCTTGTGTGAAGTTGTGTCTATATTTTTTGTGCGTGATTTTGTCAAGTTTAGCATTAACAGTTTTGCGGTTCTCT